CATACGTCACATGAAAACCAAAATAATTCCAAACGCCAGATCTGAATGAGGTTCAATTTGCCTGTTGCAAAGAGAGCTTAACTTCTGTCTCGCTAGCTTGCCCTGCGCTCTTCCTTCTGAGTATGCTGTCTGTGTTGAGCGCTCAGTGGATCTGCGCTCGACAGTGCAGCCTAGGCGGAGTAGTCGAACACAGATTCACTGAGCGCTCAACACAGACAGCATCGTCAGAAGGAAAATTGATAAAATAAATTACAAATGTTGTATTGTTCGATACATATGCGTACCGAACCGAAAGCACTGTATCGAACGGTTCAATATCGATATGAATATCGTTGCACCCCTATTATTTACGTAGATGGCTATATGATATAAAGAAAAAAAAAACACAATAAAAATGTTTCAGTTTACTTATGGTGAGGTTAAGGATTCTTCAGAAAGCACACATTAACTGTTCTCACAGTGACAGAGATGCTGGAGGTCTTGATCTGTGTGGACGCTTGTCTCTGAAAGCTGCTTGAAGTGGACCTGGAAGTGGAGCTGCTGTCCTCTCCTTTCAGGATAAGCACAAACTCACCTGCTGGGATTCCACTAAATGTCACCAGGAAATCGTTGCTTCCTAATGACTGCATGAGAGAAAAAGCAGTGACATGCATTGTCAACAGATTAACAGTAACCAAACCAAACAATATATGACTACATTCTTACGGCAGGGTAGGGCGAGTGCGAGGACTATTTGTGGATGTTGCAGGACATTCATGTATTTAAGGTTTGAAAATTACACAATGTTTTAAATTCACACAATTTTAATTAAGCTCTGAAATGCCAACACTATCTCTTTACTATGAGTAATATTATAATTTCAAATAAATGCCTATTCAGTTCACTGAGGTTTATTCACAGCTCGTGATTTCTATTTGACCAATGAACACCATATTTTTTTCTTTTTCAGTCACTGCGTTGTAGATTTGCTGGTGACACTTGGGATTGACTCCAACTTCAACTAAGCCTTATCTGTCAGATAGACGGCTTCACACCTGCAATGATCCTTTGACCTCTGTTGGACCTGAGCTGTCAAACAGTGTGACTTCTGTGACCTTTACTGTTTCACTTCCTGTCACAGTGACCAAGAAGCTGGTATTACCACCTGAAAGACAGGTGAAGAAAAAAAGGTAATTAAATGAGTATCAGTATGACATGCCCTTAAAGCGAAACACAACCTGCACAAATAAAAAAGGTAAGCTAAAGGACAGAATAGTTAAGTTTGGACTTTACTGACTATAACATGATGTAGCATAAACCTTTGGGCGCAGAGTAACTTTTTCAAGACAAATGATTGTTGCTGTTGACTAAATGATGACTCTTTGGACAATGTAGAAAATTGTCTACCACAACAGAACTTTACAACTATAAAAATGAACAAACAGTCACAATAAAAGTAGCCTGACCTGAGAGAGGACGTCCTTCTTTTACACTGAAGTCCCCATGGGCTCCCTCGTGCTCTTCGACAAGGTTATAAATGAAGTCCACTGAACTCTGACCTGATACACAAAATAGATCAGAAGGGATGGAATACGTATGTTCAGAAGTAGAAACAGACCTTGTAAATACATTTTTTCTAAAACATTTCAT